AACTAAACAGGATTACTCAACAGAATGTTGGTACACTGGCCTCCTTATATAGATCCGTGGTCGGATCCATGCTTAACTTGGAGTAAGGCAGCAGAGGAGACCATCTAAGGGAGAAAAGCACAAAGAAAAACAATTTTAAACTTGGTTGCAGAATGCATAAAGGATAGAAGGAATGCAGCTGCGAAGTTTGAAAATGCTAAACCCCACTGTAGGATGCCAGGTTAGTGGTCAGAATAACAATCACAGAGATTAATCAGCCCGGATATCCTTGCCCTATGCAATACTTGGAGACTAGAGGTGGGATGAGCCAGAGTGCAGAGAGACGGAAGAGAGCTTGGTCCCAGGCTGTAGAAAACCCTAACCTTTCGATGTCGAGATGCGTGTGAAATGCTGAGAGTGGTAGTGCATGCCTGTAATCCCAGCACTCAGGAGGCTGAGGCAGGAGGATTGTTGGGAGTTCAAGGCTAGCCTGGGCTACAAGTGAGCTCAAGGCCAGCCTGAACTGCATAGTGAGATCCTGTCTCAAAAAGACAAAAAAAAAAAACTGTGTGTGAAGTGTCAGCAGAGACTTGGGTGATGACAATGACCTGGTGCTATGGGAGTGCAGTGGGTTAGCACAGGTACAAAACTAGGAATCATCCTTGCAGCTGTGCTGTAGGGAGCTCAAGGAGTAGAAGCCACTCCATCCCCCATGCAAGTAGGAGTCGGTAGAGAGTGGGAGGTACTAAGGGCACATGCTGCAGCAGGACAAAGGAGGCTGCCACGGACTACACCACAAGGGGAACTTCTCTGGCAGCTCCTGAAAGGTATGTCTCCTCAGAACAACTACAGAGTCTTAGGAAGGTGTCGTTCCCTACTCCAGCCCAATAGCACATAATATCCCCCACCCCAGAATAAAACATTCCACATCAGGTGGCCAAACTCCCACTATAGGCTTGTTGTCCCAGCACAGTGATGGCTGATAGCATCTCCTTTCACTCTCAAAAGAATCACAGTTTGGAAAATAGATTAGTGGTTGCTAAGGGTTAAGAATGATGGGGACTGAGGAGTAGATATGACCATAAAAGGTAGCAAGACAGAGGTTACTGTGTTGATCATGATTGTAGAGGTGGTCACACAGACCTATACAGGTGACAAATGACACAGAAGAACACACACAATACTGTACAATCTCAGCTTGTCAGCATTCTGGTTTTGATGTTGCATCATATGTAAGCTTGAACTGTTGGGGAAACTGGTATAGGATAGCCTGATCTCTGTATTATTCTTTGGAATTTTCTGTACTTCTATTATTTCAATATTATCTTAGTTACTTTTCTCATTGCTGAAATAAAATACCCAACACTCAAAGTTAAAGGAGAAAAGGTTTATTTCTACTCACAGTTTGTAGAGGGTTCAGTCCATAGTCGGCTGTCTGCAAGGCACAGTGGCACAGCAGAGGGGCATGGCAGAGAAGAAGCAGCACATAGCAAGCAGGCAGGAAACAGCAAAGAGCAAGAAGCAGCGGAACAGCAAGCTGCCTTCCTTCTGGCCCTTTCCATTCCCTCCAGGCTGAAAGCCTATTGACTGCTGCCAATTACATCCGGAGGGGGGCTCCCATTATCCACACTCTTCATCCATATTCACACCCTAATCCAGCCCCCTTTGAAACTCCCCCCACTCGTGACCACCTAAACCTTTGTGGAGACATCTAGATCCAAGCCATAACAAATATTAAATGATCTTTTTCAAAAAATGAAAAAGAAAAAATAGGTCCAGTAGCATCCATTGAGCCCTAAAGCAGAGACTATACGGTACTGCTAGCATTTGCTTGAATCTGCTCACTAGTAGCAGGAACATAGATTGCTGTTGTTGCTACAGGCAGGGTACTAGGAAGACCCTGTTCCTCGAAGTTTGGGATTACAAACAGAGACACCAAGAACTCTCTGTAACTTTTTTATTATACCTAATACAGGAGAGTAATGGTTCTGGCATGCTCAGCTGGGACACAGGGGACATGCAGAAATAGATTAGTGGATGCCCTAGAGCAAAGGGGATCAGGAAGCAGCACCAGGACATCTCTTGTCCCCGAGTTTCATCCCTGCTCAGGGAAAGAGCAAATTAAAGGTTAACTACAGATACACATCATGGCACAGCTGTAGAACAAGATTTCATAACCAGCTTATAGTTTATTCAGTACTGTGACTTTTGTCATTCTCAAGCATTTGGTGTATTTTTAGTATCACAAGTAAGTTGAAAACATCATATCATGTAACTTTAATAACTAGTGTCACTTACTGGATGTTATCTGTTTACAAATTTACATGTCATGTCACTTCAGTCTTCACACAAATGCATACAGCAGATACCATTATCATCACTTTGCATACGAGCAGAGGTCAGGGTGGTCCAGTGACATTCCCCACTGTCACATGGATAAGGAAAAGGACCTGGATTCTAACTCAAGTCCCTTAGACCACAGACCAGGGCATTTCCTGTATGACTACCTCTAGTAGGATGAAACAGGTGAGGGGCCAGGAGCTTCAGCGTCACCTCAGTAGGTGGAGCCCCTGACAGCTGCTGGTGCTGGTAGATGGGTCCAGGAAATGCTTCCTCTGAGAACAGCACCTGCATCTTCTCTGTGTTCGCCACCTACAAGGTGGGGAGTAAAGAGGCTCTCGCCCTCTTCCATCATTCCCTTTCTTCCTGGGAGATCCTCGAGAGCAAGAGGAGAATCCACCATGCACACCAGGAGCCATGCTCTAAACTCCTCGGAGAGACACTCAGTTCTGGGGACCTAGTGCATATGCACTGGGACCCTGGTCCCAACTGGGGAATGTGTGAATGTCAGGGCCCCCATTAAACTGAGACCCACACAGGCTGGCTGAACTCCTCAGCAAGTCCTGAATACAGACAGAACCCAGAAACCCAACAATAATGCCTCTTTCTCCTAGTCCATTAGGTGTGAGGTGTGATTGGAAAATATGGTGAATACTTAAAATTTTTAAAAAATTTATTATAATAAAGGCCAAGTATGGTGGTGCATGCCCGTAATCCCAGCACTTGGGAGGCTGAGGCAGGAGGATCATTTGGAGTTCAAGACCAGCCTGGGCTACAAAGTGAACTCAGGATGCAACCTGAACTGCATAGTGAAACCCTGTCTCAAAAAAAAATTATTACAATAAAAGATATAGTGTCATTATTCCTCCTCAAAATACTTCCCTTCCCTTGTCAATGGTCATACCACTCTGAACGTGCCCAATCTCATCTGATCTCAGAAGCTAGCAGGATCAGGCCTGGACAGTACTTGGATGGGAAAATACTTCCCTTCGCTTCAAGTACACTTATCCCATCATTTTTGCCAATGTCTGAAACACTTCCGGAAGTCCTCTTTCATGAGTTTCTCTAGTGCTATTGTGACTGCCTCAGTGTCCTGCATCAATTCAAACATTTACTTCTCGTGGTCATGTTGACCTTTGGGAAGATCTAGAAGTTGCATGATCCCAGATCCAGTGAACAAGGTGAATGAGGAAACACCATATGTTTTTATGAGCCTGGCTTTCTATTGGATGGCACTTAGTAGCAGCACTCACCATATTTTTTATCACACCTCATAAACATATTCATGAAGCAGGACTTTCAGAACCACTTGAGAAAGTGGCAAGAACAATGGAATAAGTATGTGCAAAGCAAGGTGGAGTACTCTAAGGGGAATTAATGGCAATGTTTCTTTTACTGTAATACAGCTTTTAAAATTTAAGTACACTGTATTTCTTGATCAGTCCTTGTATATTGGCATCTATCTGCCTGCTGTTAGAGAAGAGAGAATTGTCCTGGCCTGAGGATGTTCCCAGGGGGAGCTCAGCTGGGAAAAGCCTAGAAATCTACTCACACAGCAAATTTTGAGGTCACCAGGCCAAGTTATTAGATTGGAAATTCTGGAGTCAAGAGCAGAGCAAGCAGCAGAGACATGGTGGATGTCTCCACACAGGGCTCAGCCGGCAGCACTAGGAGCTGGTCTTCTGTCCATGTGAGCAGACTGAGATGTCTGGGGTCAGACAACTGCAGAAGGGCAGTGGAGTTAAGTAGGTCAGAAGTGCCTGCCTCCTCAGACACAGCTACAGAGAAAGAAAGAGAGGGACTAAGAACAATTAGTGGCCTTATAAGATGTGCTAAGAAACTGGCAGCTGTGATTATTCAAGTTTACCCTGCAGGCTAAAATAAGTACTTCCTACACATTCGTCTCATGGACCCTCACAACACTGTAGAGAGCAGTGTAATTATTGTCCCCATTTTACAGAGAGGAAACTGAGGGCCCCAAGACACCAAATAATTTGTGTAATATTCCACTGATAATCAACTACCCAGATAGGACTGGAACCCAGGCCAACTAACTCCTGACCCACACTTAACTGCCCCTGTTCAGATTCAATGCAGGAAGTGCTGGGGAGGGTGGGGGAAAGGCAGGCAGAACCAGACTGCCGCTCAAAAGCCCAGCTCAAAAGCTCTTGCCCACGCTTTTAGTTACTTTCTGTCGTGAATTAACTAATGGTCAACTTGTAACACCCAGCTGAACTGAACCAGCATGGTGCTGTGTGGGAGGCCCACCTGAGGATTGCTGCCAACAGCATAAAAGCAGAATTGGAGAGGAAGGTGGTGTGCTGTTGATTCTCCTGTAGAAACTTGTCACTCTGGTTTTCCTGATATGAATTTTGCTGTTCCCATCAGAGGAGCTCAAGGTCTGACTTGCTGAGGATGGCTACAGTTTTCTTCAAGGGGGCTCTGGTCCTTACCTTGAGCATTTCTTCCTGGCTCCAATGCAGATCCCTCAGCCTGCTGGCACAGATCCTTCATCCTGCTGGTGCAGACTTTCTAGCTTCCACCACTGACCTTTGGGCCTTCCCGGTGCAGATCCTTGATACAACTTGCATGAGACATTGTCATGGGCTGTAGGCCTCCACGGGACTCATGCAGGACATTGCCGTGGGATCCTGGCCCTCAGCTGGATTCTTTGGGTCTCTAATGTGTGGACATATCTCTTGTGCTCTTCTGCATTTGACTCTTTGGATAAATATTATAAAAGAATACTACAAATGTATTAAATCCATTCCCATGAAAACCCTGACTATAATATTTTCTTATTGCTGAGACACAATACCCAACACCCACAAATTAAAGGAGAGGGTTTTTTGGCTCACAGCTTGTGAGGTTTTGGCCCCTAGTGGGCTGGCTCCAAGTCAGGGTGGCATGGCAGAGGGGCACCACAGAGAAGAAAGGACTCATGGCATGGTCACAGGAAGCAGAGGGTGAAATCAAGGGCGGAGAGAGGGAGACAGATCCTTCCAGGCCACGCCCCCAGTGACCCACTTCCTCCAACCAGGTTTCACCTCCCAACATCATATTTAACTATACACTCATCAGTGCACTGACCCTCTGGTATCATATCCAGGGATCCAATCACCTCCCCAAAGTCCCACATATGAGCACGTCAGGCTTTGCAGGGACATCTAGGTATAAACTGTAACGCCACCCAAGACATTCCATACACAGGGTCACTGAGGTGAGCCTGATAGCATGCAGCCAGGCAATGGCATGTGCTCCTCCCTCCTCCGTATATATTTGCTTTTAATGTGGACCATTTGTACACGCGCATTTATAATGTGTTCTGCAGGATAGCATGCTCAGGAATCTGTAAAATCCAGAGTTAGGGTCTTGGGGCTCCTCTACATGTGACTCTGTGTCAGAAGAGGTGCTGCTGTTTGCAGGTGAGGCACAGAGCTTACCTGAACCAAAGACAGAAGCCCATAAATCCTTGAGTTGGGGTCACCCCCAGAAGGGGATACAGTGTTCAGGGACAGATCTAAATCTAGCCAGACTAAGGACTGCCCTGGACCTGAAACCCCCCACCCCCCAACACACACACACAATCTTTTTCTGCAGCTATGTGATATTGGGGAAATTATATTAACAACACTCAAGACCAAACTTTGGCCGGCTTCTCCAGTCAGGTACCTAGTAAGTTCCAGAGGATCTGGACTTTGAACAAGTGAGACAAGAGCGTTATTGAAATACAAACCTCAGGTCTCACTGGTGAGAAATAGCACTCCAAGAAGAGAAGGGCAAGAGAACATAAAATCTGAACAAATGGAGAGGGAAATGGTGCTGGAGGAAGGAATGAAAAAGAGATGAGAACCCCAGGTGGGTGAAGCTACATGCTCCAGGAGGGACAGGGCGCCCCACATACACCAACAACAATCCACACGGGACATTTTCCAAACACAAACCCAGAGCTTCATCTTGTGCAAAGACCCTGTATTGGTGAGCTTTTCGTTGCTGGGACAAAATGCCTGACAGCCACAGCTGAAAGGAGGAGAGGTTCATTTTGGCTCACAGTTTCAGAGGAGTCAGAAGTGTGCACTTGCTTTTGGTGATGTTAGTAACAGCGATAATCATTATAACGGTGGTGAGAGCAATGCCAGTGATGGTGGCCATTGGAGTGATGGACAATGGACACTCATATTAAAGTGTCATAGGGGAAGAGAAAGATTTGGAATCACCCAGATCTGGCTCAAAGCCCTATTCTGCTATTTACCCATTGTGGGACCCTAAGCCTCATGTTCTCATCTGTAAAATAATAATACGTCACTCTGGTGTTCCAGGGAAGAGAAAATGACAACAGCTTCTTAGGGTGATGTCTAAATATTTCATACATTTCATAGTGGTTCCTCAGAGGAGGAGGAGAAAGAGGAGGAGGAGGTGGTAAATATGGTTCCAGGTAGGTGTCAGAGAGCTCCTCCCAGGTGACCAGGTAAGTTGGCCCAGATCACAAGCCATACCCCTCTCCTAGCAGACACCTCAGCAGCACTCACGTTAGAAGGTATTTTCGGTGACTGCCTGTGCTCCTAAGTGTACAGAAGGGCCTTCTACACCACTGTAGGAGCCACCCACTTAAAAATTAACCTGGTTGCCCTAGCCAACCTGGGAAGCAAAGGTTATTTCTGGTGGTATTGCATCACTTTTTTACTCCACACCCTGGCACCCTGTGGCATTAAACTGACCCCTGGTCTCCTGGGACTCTAATCACCCCATCAAATCTCCTTCTCCCTCCCAGACTCATGTGATATTCCCAGACCCTTACTTTTACTCTCTGTCCAATCAATATTTGCCATTTGAGTTTCTGAGGCCTCAAATTTAATTAATCACAGTGAAAGTTAGCATGTACTTCATCCACGCAACTAACTGCCCTGTGAGTTGGGTGAAACTATGAGCCCCATTTCACAGGTGAAGATACTGAGGCTTAGAAGAGTAATTTCTTCCTGATCACACAGCTCATACATTGAGATATATTTGATCTTAGATCTACCATATAATGCCACCCACCTTGCAAAGACTTAATCCACAGGACTGAAGAGATCAAAGGGGCAGGATAGAGAGGACAGTGAGAGAAATGATGCATGTGGCTGATTCTCAGATGCTCTAGAAAGGGCTCCACCCTGAGCTCTGTCTAGATGCTCAACTGGTATAATGATAGTCCAAGTTTTATGCTCCTATGGCTCTTAGAAATCTCAGGGTAGATGGGTATGGTGGCACACACCTGCAATCCCAGCACTCAGGAGGCTGAGGCAACAGGATCATGAGTTCAAGCCCAGCCTGAACTATGTAGCAAGAGTGTGTGTGAGAAAACAAAAGGGAGAGAGAGAGAGAGAGAGAGAGAGAGAGAGAGAGAGAGAGAGAGAGAGAGACACGGAGGGACAGAGAGTCAGAGAGAGAAGAGGAGAGGAGAAAGACAGACAGAAATAGAGAAAGAAAGAGAAAAAGAAACAGAGAAAAAAAAAGAAACAAACAAACAAACAAACCTTGGGGTAGCAGCTACAGGTTGGAAAACATGCTCTCTGAAGAGTAACTCTTTTAAATGCACACCTTCCTCCCAGCAATCCCATTTTCAGAAGTGTACCTTTCAGAGATACTTGCTCAAGTGTGAAATGACACATGTACAGAGTCACTCATGGTTTGTAATGGCAAAAAAATTGGAAGCAACTCACATCTCTGTCACTGGAGGGTTTAATAAATTGTGAAATATGTATATGATGGAATACTCTGCAGCCATAAGAATGCGGTTCTAGCTGTGGGATGTGGAAAGGACGCAGAGGATGTGGGTCTCTGCAACACGTCACTCAGTCTGAAGAGGTAAGACAAGCACTATGTTAAGCTGCCACTGTGCCAAATAGGAAGAAGGGCAGAAGAAATACGTGTGTTTTCTTGTATATGTTTAGATGAGCACTAGAGGGGTGTACAAGAAATTGGTACCATCAGTTGCTTTCAGAAAGGGATCCATGTGGCCAGGAAACAAAGGAGAGACAGGGGCTTCTTGCTGTATCCCATTATATACCCTCTGAATTTGAGCATCTATTCCAAAATAAATTCACACACCAATATGCACATGCGTACATCTACGTTCATGAGGGAATATTCATGGCACATTAATAAAGACACTGGGAATAGGATTGGAGACCTGGAACTTGTTATTTCTACCACTTTGGAAATGCCACTTAACATTTCTGGGTCCAGGTATCTCAGTTTGGGTGGTGGCAGTACAATGATACCTACTTCCCTGTGCTGTGCAGAAGATGGAGAGATGCCAGTTTTGTTCATCCTGTTTGTTCATCCTCCAGATGTTTGCTGAGCACAGCTCTGAGCCAGGTTCTGGGCTCAGTACTGATTTACTGAGGTGGGTCCAGGAGACACGCTCCCCTGTTGAGCAGCCTGAGATCCCAGCCACAGAGGGATCAGTAGGGAGCCATCAGTCCCAGAGTCATAAATGCTGCTTTAGCAGAGAACAGGCTCGGGGGACCCCACCAGGCCTAATTTTTACTCAACAGCTGTAGATGGCCCATGTGAGCCCGTGACATGCAGGCTCGGACCCAAAGGACCCAATAGACCTTCACCGGGCAAAGAGAAAGGAAGAGCCTTCCAAGTGGATGATGTGAACATTCTGAGCCAGAAATAAATCTGGAGAGTACAAGAGAGCAAAGGCAACCCAAGTAGCTAGGGAGCAGTGGTAGACAAAGCGAGTATGTGAATGTCCCAGTCCCCCAGGGCCCAGGGTGAAGACCTAAGAGTCACATCCCAGTGCAGTGGAATCATTCTCCTTCCTGAGCAGTAACAGAAGAGCACAGACAAGCCTGCTCCAAACACCAGCTGTCCCACTTCCTAGCAGGGCGTGTCTAGCTCCTTAACTCTCAGTAAGGAGGCAGAGCCTCCCCGGAAGGCTTCGTAATGCTTAAGTGCATTGAGAGGCACCCTGAGCTCAGCCGTTGTGCCTCCCACACACACTCAGCAGATGGCTCCGCAGGGTCAGCTGCCGCAATAGTAATTCTGGTCTACCCATCCTTTTCTGTCCCTAGGGAGTTGGTCCCAGGACCTCAGCACCAATACCACTATGCGGGGTACGAGTTCCTTACATAAAATGAATAGTATTTTATATACTATGCAAACTCTATTACTTTAAATCATCTCTAGAATATTTATAATGCCTAATACAATGTTAATACTGTGTATGTAGTTGTTTTACAGTATTGTTAGGGAATAATAACAAGAAAAACATCTGAACCTGTCCAGTACAGACATAACGTTTTCTTTGAACATTTCTGATCCACAGTTAGTTGAATCTGTGGATATGGAGAGCCAGCTATATTTCTAAAACATTATTCTAGAGTAAGAGTGAGCAAACCATGGCTCCTAGACCAAATCCAGCCTGGCTCCTATTTTTTACTATTCATAAGCTAAGAAATGAAAAATAGTATTTTATGACATGAAAATTTTATAACATGTACATTTCAATGCCCATTAAATAAAGTCTTATTGAGACAACCACTCCCTATTGTTTATGTATCGTCTATGGTTATTTTTGTGCTATCGCAATGGAATTCAGTAGCTGAAACAGAGGCCACGTGCCTAGAAAGCCTGAAGTATTTACTATCTGCCCCTGCTCTAGAGAATGGATTAAAGACCCCAAGACATGAGGAGGAAGACTAATTAGGAGGCTGGTGTTGAAACTGAGC